AGCTAACTCTTCTACCACCAATGCACCGCAGTGAAAACTTCTTAAGGGGTTGCACTGATTAAGCGCAGACCCAGTTGCATGGTTGTTCTGCAGTGAGGGGAACCAGGAGCAACCACACCATCACAAATCCCCCCGTTTGTCTTCTCCAAGCCACCCCCTGGGGTGGCACTTCCCTGTCACTCAGTTCGGCACCTTCTGAGAAATTCCACAATGTATACGGTGACACCATCTCCTTGGAAAAGGAAAGCAGAACAAAGCCATCGGGAACAAAGCAACAGCCCTGGCTGAACACAGAGATGCACAGAAGACTGACAGAGATCAGTAGAGGCGATAAAGAAAGGTTGTTTTCTCATTATACTTTCATTTTAAATGGAGAAGCGTTGGGGTGAGAAGCTGCAGGAGAACTGCCTCAGTCAGCAGAATGAAAGACAGCCTCTGTGACTAGCTTTCAGATAAGACATCAAGAAGCTGATAGTTCTCCAAGACCCCAAGAAACCACACTTGCAAAAATATACACAGGAGATTAGTTTCAGAAAGTCTGCATGGGAAAGGCATTTGGCAGATGAGGAAGAATCAGAAGCTCTTCCAAGAAGTGTCTCCATGTACTTTAAAGTCACAAATCAAACCAATTGGGCCTTGAAGCTTCAAATTTACTTTCCTCTTTTGTCCTCCTCATTGCAGGTTGGTGCCTTGGATTACTACCGAGTGGTTTGGTGGGTCACTCCATGGAATTTATAGACTGCAAACTTCTGCTAGACACAGCTAAAAACCACTGCAAAGCCTCAAGCTACTGGCATTCTTAAAATACTTAGTTGAATTGCCAGGGCTTGCAGTACTTCAGATGCCCAAAGCTTCCGGAGTCCCAGGGGAAGTTTATACAGTGGCATATACAAGTGGCAGTTGAACATCTCAGGAGCTTGGGAACACCATACACCACTTGCAAAGGAGGAGGTGGTGGGGAGAACAAAGAGGCTAAAAATCCAGAGCAGCATACAAAGCTTTTCTGAGGATACTGGAAAACTTTGTCATGCTCAAGCATGGCCAACATCATTGTTCTATGTACTGTATAGTCTTGTTTAACATGAAATCCATAATTACAGCAAAACACATCCTTCGTATGGAAAAAGTAATAGCTAGAGGAAACTTCTCAAAGTCGCTAGCTCAGGATTCTTTCTGAAAAAGGACCACCTGGTAATACATCATACTACAGCAATGCTGGGGATGAGAAAGAGGGCTTCCAACCAGAGTCTAGAATTCCTTAATTGTGTTAAAATATTATTTAAGATAGGGACACAAGTATGGCATTCAGAAGCTAGGATATTTTAAAATGCAGCTACATTTCTCCTGCATTGCATGCCAGCCCCTGGCAAAAAGTACTGCTCTGTACATAAAGAGCTGCCATTTTGCTCTCTTACAGGTCCTTCCTTAAACCCTTGTTGCAGCCCTGTGCAGCATGGGATGGGAAACTATAAACTGTAAAATTAACATTTTCTGCTCCTCCACACACGTTTCCACCCCAGTAATCTGCTCCGTGCCCTCTGAGGGGTGCCAATTTTCTTTGATTTGCTCAGATCGCGCTTAGTGAGATAGAGCTCTGGTTTTGGGGACACCCATAAATATCAACATAAAAGAAAAAAACCAAACCCTAAACACTTATGAACAAAGCATCTGGAAGTCTGGAAACAGAGCTAAGATTCCACAGGCAGCTCTCCATCTTAGTGTGTCCTGTCCCCAGGATAGCCCTTATCCCTGGAGCCCAGCCATAGTCCCCCTAGGCTATATTAGTACTTTTCTAATATAAACCATGTGTCCTCACAACAGCAGCTTGTTAGTAACTTTAATAAGAATTACTGACTACATCAAAAGCCATTTACCTAGAAACCCTTCCAGAAAGAGTCCACTTCACTAATCTGTTTTGTCTACCATCCACAAGTTAAACCCTTCTCCCAGATTTGCGTTTTGTCAGGTAAGGGATAACATCTTCATGTCACACACTCCACATAGGATCCTCTGGGAATCTATCACTGTCTAACTCTCCACTGTGCTCTCCAAGCAGACCACAAGCAATTCTTGTCTTTCTTATTTGTCCCCTGTTTTGATCTGGGCTTGGTACTCATCCAGATACCATGACCACTAGAATCATGTTTTCAGTGCCAGTTCCAGCTGAAGGCCAAGAGTGCTTCAGCTTCGTTGGGGTTTTTTTTATAGCTTCTAAAAACCTCCTGTTCCACAAAGTTCACAATGGGCTGAATGAAAGGCACTTCAAATATTTGGGTAACTGTGATACAGAAGACAGGCTGAAGTACAGCAGGGGTGGTTTGTAGAATCTACATTCACATTTCCAGAATTTCAAATACTTTGCTACAAGCTATGTTTTACAGTTCTTCTATTTTTAAGTGTGCTATTTCAAATTCTTTTTATATCTACAATGAACTGAAGATTGCTTTACAAGGAGAAGCAACTCTGTTTTCCTTTGTCTCAGGTTTATTGTCTTGAAGAGCTGCTATATTTGGGTTTTTTCATAAATATCTACTACTGCTTCAGTACCTCCATTCCGTGAGAAATCTAGGCTGCATTTCAGAGCAGCTGGGGCACCTCTGAAAACCCACTGCCAGTTGATAAGCCAGCAGCAAACCCTCAGATCTGGGACAATTTCAGATGAGCCATAGCACAGTATTCTTGGCTAGGGAGAGCAGTTACCTGCTTCTCAGTCAATGCACAACCCTCAGGATCATCTATTCCAGTTTAAACCAATCCACCAGTGACAACTGCTTCCTGACAGATGAGCAGAAATGAAAAAGAAAAAAGAAATCCACCAAAAGAAAATTCTCCCTTTCATAATGCAACGGCATCTATGGATAGGTATTGTAAGTGATCCATGTTATATTGAAGCCTTCTTTTGTGGAGAAGCCAGCTGTCCCAGGCAACTCAAGGTTCTAGGCAGAGAGCAGCTATAGTTCACAGGCTAGCAGCAGCAGTGGGTAACAAGAATTGCATTTATAAGCACGCTTCAGGGAACAGCATGAAGAAGTTTAACTCCCATTAGGCTTGGAAAATGCCTTGGCCCTGCGCAGCTCAGAGACAAAAGTACTGTAGCAACAGAGCAGTGAAACTCATTGGTAACAGGGCACTAATGTGGCAGTCTTTCCTTGTTCTAACTATTTTAAGATAGAATATTCTCATCTTTTAGGCTTTTTGTGCTTCCAAGAGCTTAGGACAGAAGGAGTAATGGCTCAGTGAGATGCTATCTGCCATTTGCTCAAACAGCTTTGCCAGCACATCTATAGATCTATACAGCAGGACAAAGGCAGTACAGTCATGCATGCCAATGCAATCCAGCTAAAGATACAGGTGATGGCACCATCCAAGACAACAAAGCAGCCAGAAAAATTCTCCAGAAACCTGGAGACAAAGACTGTCCCCTAGCTGGTACCACAGACTAAAGGGCACACTGCTCTTTCCTCACTTCTAGTGCTCTTGCTAGCACAATTTATCCGACACATCAGCACATCCTCCTTTTAACCATACCCCTGTACCCTTCAGTGCAACCAACACCCTGTCCACTAGGGCTACAGTCCCAGCAGATCTTGCTGCTGCACCTT